GTGTGTGTGTGTGTGTGTGTGTGTGTGTGTGTGTGTGTGTGTGTGTGTGTGTGTGTGTGTGTGTGTGTGTGTGTGTGTGTGTGTGTGTGTGTGTGTGTGTGTGTGTGTGCAGATTTGGGGATAATGCCCTCCAAAGATCGGGCTGGCCAGGTTGGGGAAAAATTCCTCTTCCTGCCTTGCTGGGTGATATCAGCCGGTGAACTGTCGTCTCCTTAACTCTTTGATCAAGACAGGGCCGTTAGAGCCACTGAGGTTTGGATCAGGCCCGTCAAGAGACATTCCACACAGCAGCGCTTGCAAAATCCCCACTAACCTCAACTCCGCGGATTTTACCCCCCCCCCCCAAAGTAGGTGATTCTTGTGGCTGCGAGGTTCTGCTCTTTGAGCCTGTCCTCCCAGCGTTTTTAATGGCAGGGCTTTATTTTTAAATAGCGATAACAAGGATCGCGGGGTCTATTTGAAAAAAAAATCCCGTATAAATATGAAGAGGAAACGAAAGCCAGAATGTTCAAAACCTGTAATTCACTCCTCAGAAGGTGCTTCCAGACAGGAATTTCCTGAAAACGAGGGGTAATCGTTTTAATTATGGCTTCTAGACATTTTAAAGGAAGGCCCTCGTAGCAAATGAAAGTTGGATTTGCAAAACTGCAATCTCAGAACATCAAACCAAAACATCTCCATACAGAGGGGAGAAAGAGATTCAGTTAATGGCAACTCATGTTAGTTTTATTTGCTTCCTGAAATATTCCAGCAACATAAATGCACATTTTAGTCCTTGAGTTGTGGTTTTTTTTTTTTTAACGAAAACTGCAGTTAATACAATGCTTTCAAATCCAGCGAGTATTTAGCCTTGAAAAGCCTTAAGAGCTAACCTTACAGATAGTCTCATTTGATCAGCTAGCCGGTTACTCATCTAGACAAAAGTGGCTTTTCTGAACTGTAGGGGTTTGATTTGTTACCAGGCACTGAGACCCAGAAGTGAAGTGACTTGGTTAAATCTACCTTCATTTTCTCCTTTATATATTATTCGCTGTGCTGGTGAATTTCCAGAGAACGGTTTAATTCCCCCGTCCCAACCTACTAGTTGCTTTCTTACTAAGGTCTCAGTTCAAACCGCTCTCCCCCTCCCCCCCCCCCCGCCTTGGGGCCCTATCGTGCTACAAACGTGTAAAGCGTATTTCAGTGCTGGAAAATCCAGACCCCCTTTAAGGACTTTTCAAGATGCAGGATTGTGTATGCCTTTCATTTTATGGTGTATTGTGTCACACTGTGGGTCTGCAATTGGTGAGGGACTATGTAGACAGGACACCGTGAGTAAGCAATTCACAGCAGACACTAATACCCCTGCCCAGAGCGGAGTATAACCCGGTCAGCAAATCCGCTCTCGAAACAAACCAGGGTAATATCCCGGGATGAAAAACAAATTGGAGGTGGGAGGAAAAATGCCCCCAAACAAAAAGAGCAACACACAGACCAACCCAGCACAAACGAACCATCCGAATCAATAAAATCCGAATCCCAAGAGGAGCCGTTCTGATTTGACATTTGATTGCAACAAGTTAATATATTAAAAATAAATAAATAAACGACCTAACTAGATATTCTGAGTTCGCATTGGCTAGAGACCTATAAAGCAGGACAGCTCAGTCCTACAAGTATGTGTGCCTACAATGGTTATTGACTTTGGAGTCTAATCTAGCCCAGACCCTTGTCCTTTCGTTTGTCTATTGACAGTTTGTACAGTTTGCTAGTACAAATAACTTATCTGCCTCATCATAGAAGTTTAATTGTGTAGAGGAACATTTGCTATATGCTTGGGTGTGTACATTGCTCCGAACGGGGCCGTTACACACTCCCTAGTGATGTACAGTAGTCACTTTCCATTAGAGTTATGTTCTTTATAGTATACAGACATCTGCTCCGCGGTGCGAAGCAGATTCTTTTAACCGCTTTCTCGTCACTCTGTAAGATAGCATCATGTTTGAATCGCATCACTTATTGTATATATTTTATCAGCAGGCACCGTATGTTTCCTTAAAAAAACAACAAGGAGTCTGGTGGCACCTTAAAGACTAACAGATGTATTTGGGCATAAGCTTTCGTGAGTAAAAACCTCACTTCTTCGGATGCATCCTTGTCACTTTACTGACTGGGGCCAGGAGAGTATAAACTTGCCTGTATTTCTATGTTGGACTATTCCTCCGTTTTAATGGAATTTATCCATTCAAAACCCTGTCTAATCTAGCCCCTAGTGAGATTTGTAGGACAGGAATACCCCGCAGTTAAACCCTGTACCTGGGACACCCACATGAGTCTCTTTTACATGGGGGGAAGAGACGTGCCTTGGGGTTGAGCCATTGGCCTCTCCGGATCTGCGGGCAATTTCTAACCATTGCTTGTTTACATTAAAAATACTGACCCCCTGAAAAGATCCGACTTCATAACGTGTGTTAGGAGGGTGTCTCTGTCCCTCACTCTCCCAATCATGGGAAGAGAATTGCAAATATATTCCCTGTTTAGAGTTAAATTACTGTCTTTAATTAATCCAGGAGAGAACAGTAAATCCAGCAAGATGGCTTTTATGGGCTAGATTCTGCCCTTTCCAGACACGGGGGGGGGGGATTTAAAAATGGGCTTCTCTGGAATGGTGGCGGAGCTTTCTCTCTGGCTCTCCGTATTATTGTGTTGCATATTATGTATGCTCCTTAAAAAGGGATTAATTTAAAAAAAAAAACTTGCCCGAGATCCTAGAGCCTTTCCCTGGTCAGTTACACTAGCGGAGTTTCCTGCATTCAGCTGTTGATTCCTGGTGGCATCCTTTACCTTCTAATTCCTTCTCCCTGCCTCAGCCTAGCTGTCTTCTCCGAGTTATGACGGCACACTTTCCCAGCTGAGCTTTAGATGAAGTCCCTCTGTGACCCGCTGTTGCCTTTGATTTCTCTATGCTCTCCCGAGAGATCCCGAATCTTAAGAATGGGGAAATCTTGGAAAGGAAAGACAGGGCTTAAAGGAGACGGCAACTTTCCCGAGCTTCTGACAACTGCTTGCCTGATGTTGCTGCCTGCAAGACATCAGGTCCTCTCAGCCAAAGATTTCCTTCTCTCCCTGACTCCAATGAAAGTTGACCAAACGAAATGAAGGCCGGGGTGTTCATATATTAGGGATTCTCTATGTATTGCGTGCCTCCCACATGTATGGGGTATGTTCAATATTATAATTATACCCGGGTATTATTTAAGGAGCACAGTAGGTCCTGGGTAAGTATTGGCAATGAAAATGAAATTGACAGATGATGTTATGCTATAATCGGTTTTAAAAGGCCAGCCACCTAGCAGCTGTTAAAGTATTTTTTCCCTTTCACTCCTCACCGCCAGGCGCCTGTTCACCTTGATAAGTTTGCATTTTCGCTTGCGATGCATCCTACCAAATAACCGGAAGTTTTTCAACTTCAGAAAAGACTGCGGGCCGGAGCCCCTGCCACTGGGAACCCCAGCCAGTGGGCGCTGGATCGGGCCCTACAAGGACAAGGCTGATGTCTCTGGATTGCTCAGAAATGAACCGCCGGTTGCCCCTAGTGTGGCTGGGCCCCCCCTTACCCTGACTCTGGGCTCGGTGAGATTGGTCCACACAGCAATCTCCTCTCTCATGCTCATGTCCGGGTAGCGGTTCCTCTGGAAAGTGGCTTCCAGCTCCTGCAGCTGCTGGCTGGTGAAGTGAGTTCTTTGCCGCCTCTGTTTCTTTTTCTTCGCCGGATCGTCCGGGTTTCCATCTTCGCTCTTCTGTTCGCCGCTCCGGTCTTTTTCTGTTAAAAACAACAAGGCACCGAGACCCGAGCGGTGACACACACGGACTTGGCCGCCTGGCCCCTAGATCTCCCTCCTCCCCCAGCCATTTGGAGAAGGTACAAAACAAAATCCTCTTTTTAAAAATCTCCTTCGTACGTGCCTCTGCCGTACAAGGCTAGAGCGCCTGTTTCCTACCACAGGCCCGGCGCGTTTTCTGTTTCAACCAGCGCCGCGTGATTCAGAAAGGTTTCCTGAAACAATGTTCCCCTGAAATTTATTTTCCAACCAATAGTTTTCAGTTATCCTCTCCTCTAGGCCTGTCCTTTTATCCAGGGGGCTCTGAAACTTACAGAGGGAAAGAAACTTATTTCTAATTGGCTCGGCGTTTAGATTGGAAGCTTCTTGGCAAAATAATACTAATTAGTAATAAATCTATTTAAAAATCGTTTCTCTGCTTTGTGGGGTTTTTTCTCTCTCTCTCACTCTAAAGAGAAACTTCTGCTCGAGTGCATTATTGTTGTATATGGTCATTTCCCCACCGTATTAATCTCAGAAAACGTCAGAGTGTGTAAAATAAAACATGAATAAATCGAAAAGGCAAACTCTCCTTCCCCTCGGGAATATTAGAATTTATTTAAGCAGAGAATGACCCATTAAAGGCTTTATCCAAAAACCGAATAAAAGGTAAGAAACGCTGGTAGCTGTCTGCAACATTCCCCTTTTGTGAATTGTGTTTGTCCAAATTTGTAGAAGGAATTCAACACAATCGCTTGATATAACTAGGGAAAAATAGAAAATCTACCTAAAATCAAGGGGGAAACGCGCTGATCTTTTTATATTTTTTGAATACATTTTTGGATTTACACATATGGAATGAGGAATTCGATACATTATTTGAACGGATTTAAATTATAAATGTGTCGAGATAAAATCTCCCTCCCTGTATATATCTATAAAACACTTCCGTAGATGTATATACATAGATATATAATATGTTTAATACATATGCATGTCAATGTAAGGATTTAAACTATACCAATAAAATATACTAATAATTTTATTAATGTGTAGAGATAAAATCTCCCTCCCTACATATATCTATAAAACACTTCTGTAGATGTATATACATAGATATATAATATGTATAATACATATGTATGTCAATGTACAATTTTGATCTATTTATATTCACAATAGCCACACATCACTTTAAATAACTGCGTGCATATATGCCACACGTGTATGTTGTTTCTCTCTCTCTCTAATTTTGATGTATTTATTTAATATATATACATACAAATATTAGTGTATAATATACATATATATACAAATGTAATACTAATCTATATTACACACAATAACTAAATCAAAATTAGAGAGAGAGAAATACACACACGTGTTGTATATTCAAACCCATCCCTTTGTACTCATACACATGAGTTTGGCTTAATTTTGGAGGGTCTTTCTGAGAGGAATTCACATGGAGGGATAGCTAAATAATGAGACTATTCTGCGGTGTTGTTCATCGTAAAGGTAGGAGGCATGTAAAGATAATGCTAACGAATTGAAATAGAGACTTCCTTTCAGAGCCTGCTAATAATAATATTTTTAAATGAATTAACAATAATCCTTGCAAAACAATTGATTCCTCATACGTGAAAAGACTCTGTACCTAGGCTTCCCTGGGAACTCTTGGAATAAAAATGCAGGCCCTCAAACGGTTAAATGGAAACCAAAGGGTGGTAAATGGGCTTATTGCAGCGCGGATGGCCACTATTTCCAGTAAGTGGTTTGCAGAGCAAACAAGGCCTCGAACAGAAACCCCATTTAAATATCCTTGGTGGCCAGTCAATTTTTCCCCCTTCCTCGCTGCCTTTGCAACTAATTGTGTTCCCAAAAATTAGCGGCTGCTGTAAATGTGTGTCTCTTCGAACCGAGTCCACATGACCTAACTGTAAAAGCTGCATGTAAAAATGATTCCATTTTTGAACACACAAATCTTTCTGGCAGACAGTTTTTTCCACCCCTCGGTGTCTGGGGCCGCTTCTCGTGCAGGCAGGAGAGCAAACAAGTAAGGAAAAATCAGTGTCCTCAAAGAAACCATCCATCAAAGTGATTGCAATCTTTGCATTTGATTTATCCCTCCTATGATTTCCATGAAAAATGCTGTCTGGTCATAAGGCTGTGATACCATTTCAAATCATAATAACACACATGAGTCTTAATTGGCATTAGCACACTTTTCCATTCAAAAGTGAAAGGTATTTTGTGAATTCTCTTAAGACTAAATGGAACCTGTTATTTAGTTTCCTTAGAATGTATGAGTCAGCTTTTAGGGGTAGAGCAAAATGGAGCAATTATCCCCTACAGTATTTCAAGAGGGGGGGAACCACACACCTCTAAGCACCCCCCCTCCAGACTACACTCAAAGTCTTGTTTTCAAATCAGATTTGGAGGCAGAAACGAACGTGTTTGCTGCCAAGTCAGCATTCGGATTTGTTTTGGTTGCAGGCACAAGACCCGTTTAAATTTAAAATAACCATTATTTAAAAAAAAACAAAAAACTACCCTCTATGCAGGGAAATTTTGAAGAAGGAACCACGCACTAATCCATATTTTCCAGGGCTTTTTGCTTCCTTCATATGGTGTTTCTTGTCATTAGAGGGACGACTACTGTTTTAATTAAATACAAACTAGGAAACCACAGCTTTCCCTACAATAATTGCACATGTTCAACAGGCGGATATAAAAGCGGAGACCAAACGACTCCTGTTTAGATCCAACTCAGTTCTTGTAAAATGCTATGGTTTATTCCCCGTCTATACATAAAATTAAAAATTAGGCTTTGTAACGCTTACCCCATATAATAATAAATCTGAGCTGCCTGGTCTCTCTCCAGTCCCCTCCTCATCCCCCCTCCTAATGCTTTGCAGTTTCCCCCCTCCTCTGACGGAGAGATCCTTTTACATGTCTGTACAGCCAGAGCTGGAAAATAGACTCCGGCAGAGCTGACATTATTTCAGAAATATTCTGCAAAACCGCACTCCCCGTGGTAACCCCCCTGATAAATTAATATCTATTAAAAAAAAACCAACTGCTTCTCAGCTTGAAGTTGGTAGCAATATTCTTCCATTCCCTAGACTGTCAGAGCCGGGGCATGGAAGCGGGTCAGTTCGGTATCTGTGGTCGCCCCCATCCACCTTCCCGGTTTGGCTCTAATTAATTCTAGTGATTACACCCACCCACCACCTGGCATTTCAATCTCTCTGGTGCATCCTGCCTGGCCAGCACAGTCTCTTGTGCAGCGTGCATTAGAATTAATCAAGCAGGGAAAGAAAGAAAGGAAGGGAAGGAAGAAGAGGAAGTAAAAGGCTTTTACCTGGGACTTCTGTATCTGACGATTCACTGGCTGAATTCTCAATCGGATCTCTGGATTCAGAAGATCTTTGCAAATGGAAGCTGGAAGCCATGTCATGGGAAGGCTGGGGTCTTAAACTCTCTGGCAGTCTTTCCAAATTCATCCCACCTTTAAAGGAATCCATGGCAAGGAGGCTGGGTTGATTTTGGTTTATGCAGGTGTTTATTCCACAATATATATAGATAGATAGATCAAGGTCTGAAAATCCACTTAGTACTAGTTATGGATTGCTTTACTTTATTGTTATTTTCAAAGTCAGAAGAAGAGCTTTGAGAAATGCCTAGAAGCCCGATTGTCTTTGCTTTGCAATAGCTGCACCGGTCCAACCGCGTATGCATGAAAGTGGTAAAGATCCCTGGTAGAAAAATGCGGGTTGCGAGTTGGATAGTTTCAAGCTAAAGAGATTAAAGCGACCTGCCCTAGAACAAATGCCTGTAGTTAAACCGAGCTCCTCCCACTTAAGGTTAAAACCTCCCAGTCTCGCTAATATATCACCCCATCTAGCGCTCGCTCAGCCTAATCGAGTTGGAAGAACCTCCTGCAAACTCCCCATAGATGTGAGCTGTCTCTAAGGCGCCCTGGAATACTAGCTGCACGTTTCTTAAAGCCACAGCGCTCTCCCTCTGCCCCGGGATCCCGGCGGAGTGTCTCTCCGCTGTTAGGAGCCTCGTTGGTCTCTTGCCCTCTCTGCTCCTCTTGCTGGAGGAAGAAACGTCTTTTTGTCCCCGCGCTGGCTCTAACCATCGCAAGCCCTAAACCAATCAGCGCCCCCCCCCCCAAACTTTCCCCCAAAGCCAGTGATTTATTCCGCGCGCAGCATTAGCTCTTTGACCATCTACGCGATCTGTTAAGCCCCAAATATTTAAAAAACACATTTCAGAGACTAATCTAAATAGATCAAATTCTTTCCAGTCTTCTGCAAAGCAGATCTAGGCATCCCCCCCTTCTCCCAAGCAGGGCAGGCGCAGAATTGCATTTTGCACGGGAATGGTTACTCCCGCGGGGTACACTCGCTGTACAATTAAGCACAAGGAAGAAGCTGCGCCTTGCTTATCTATTGGGAGAAATAAACGCGCGTTCCCATTTCGCTGCGAGACTAACACTTTTAAGCCCGCGGACAAGCAGTTTTATTGTGGATGTTTCTGAGGCACGTTTTAAGGGGGGAAATCTGCTGGGGGGGGGGATGGGGTATTTCCTAGGAAGTCAGAGAATATTTGGTAACAAAAATGAAACCTTCCTCGTATGCTCCCCTTTCATGCTGCAAGAGGCAGCCCACCTCCCTGGCTCGCCGTGGCCTGTGTTATCACAGTCACAAGGGGTTGCACAGAGATTGAGAGATGTGACCTTGATTTGAGTGAATCAGGCAGCAGAGCTCGGGAACAGCGGATAAATATTGGGCGCTAACTGGCTTTTGTTGTTGTTGTTTTTTTCCTCCGCACTTCGAAGCGGAAATCATCCAGGGCCGATTTCTCCTCTGATTTACACGCCTGGACTTGGGGCTCGCCAGGTAGAGCAGGCTGCGGCCCAGACGTGTTTCCTATTTGTTGGCGTGCAAGAAACACAGCACAAGCGCCTAAGGTTTCCCCCCCAGCCTCCCGGGTCGGGCTGGGGTGCTGGGAAAGCAGGCGAGGAGTGAATTCCGGAATCCGGGGTGGTGGAGAATTTCCTACGGCCCTGTGGTTTGAAAGCTACAAATAGGAGGCGAGTCCCTTCGCTTTGGGGCTTATAACATGGACTCGTAGTAGCCTGGCGCCCATTTTCGAGCAGCTCTCACGAAAGCGCTGCACGATGCGTTTGGCTGGAGACAGGCAGGTCTCAGGTTCTCTGGCTCTGCCTGTTGGTCCTAACATCTCTGGCAGGAGGGTGTGGTGTCACTTTAGTGACTAAATAATGAGTTGTTTACAGATCTAGTAAACAATCCGATCCCCCTGAACTCCCCCCCCCCCACAGAGGCCTTCTTGTTGGGAGCCCCTGCTAAAGCTAGTTAAACAGCCCCACTCTCTCTGGGTTGGCACAAACCAGTCCCATTGGGGTCTCTCTCTCTGTCTTGTTCTTGCTGTTTCTTAAAAGGGGAACAACTGTCCCCCCCCCCATGCTCGGTGTATGAGCCTTCCATCTCAGGCATCCAGAGGGAGAATTTAAATCCCTAACCTACCGATGGAAACCAAGTCTGCACACACAACCCTAAACTATTTTCCCACCGAAGTTTTTATTTCCAGTGAACGTTTAATAGATTCGTTGTGGTTTGATCGCTCGCTAACTATAATCTAATAAATATAACATTGCTTCGTGTTGCAATAAAACGGCCTGTTTCACTTTTCTGGAAAATCCCATTATTGCAGCGTATTTACAATCCCTTCATGTGGCTATAATAACTCCTTCAACTTTATAAATTCCACACTCCTCTTTTCTTCCTTTCGAAAGAGCATTTAACCTCCACTTTTTGGGGACAAACCTTTATTTAAGAAAGAACAGCATAAAGTACTCTTGAAAAACACTTCCGTCTCAGTGGACCTTTCCAGTCCCTTTCCAAAGCCCACGGGCTGGCCACCCTCTCCAAAGCCCAGGGTCTGAAAGTCGATGGGAGTTTTGCCTGAGTGAGGACTGCTGCAAAGTCCTTCCTCCAGGCAAGACTGATTTCCCCATCTTTCAGCACTTTATCCTTGGCAGTGAACTCTCTGTGACCCATAGAAAGTGGCTGGTTGTTCTAGGGATGGATTTCAGGCTTGGAGATCTGGGCAATTTTTAAAGGGAGAAAACAGTGCCCAAAAATGACACTGTCCAGCAAGTGTCAAGATCAGGTTTGGAAGTGCCATCCAAACGCAGGGCCGCTTCGCAATTGTCCTCTGTGCCTGTGCTGTTGTATCTCCGTGAATGTCAGCTTTCTAATGCCTCCCAAGGACAATCGCCAGCCACCGGCCCTCTGAGGGTGTGGCCGCCACTTCTACACTAGTCTCACGCTGATCAGCACCAAGAGTTATTTTTCGTATGAATAGGGACCCGGGCTTCACGTGACTGCTACCAGGGTAGATGAATCACCTGGTCACAAGCCACGGTGTCTGCGTAAACAAATGTGGGGTTTTCTCTCTCTCTTAAATTTTTTTTTAAAAACCCTTTGATTAAAAATATCAGTTTCACTGTAACTTGAAAAAACTGTTTAAAATCTCCAACAGATCGTTGGCATCCCTGTTAAATGTGTTCGGCGCAGTCTCAGAATTGCCTGCCCTATGGACAACGCACATTTCATTATCTAGGTCGCAGCAGGCTCCATTTTTTTTTTGCATCAGTTTGCTCCCTCCGTCCACTCCCCAGTCTGTGACCTTTGGGCTGTTTTACAGCATAGGGGAGGGGGATGTTTATGGTGATTTCAGACACTAAGAAACCCAGTGTTGCCGTGGGGGCAATCAGTCCCTTGCTTTGAAGCTTCCCCAATACCCCAGCAGGCCAGTGAAAAATACCCCGGCAGGTCACTTTTCCTGAAGGACACCTCGAAAGCACAAGGGAGAGCCTGGACTTGTGGCAATGTCTCGTTGGGCCCGATCCTGCATTACTGCTCCCTTGACCCCACGGGGGAGTTTTGGGTGTGCCCGGAATGCAGGATGGGGCCCGGTCCCCGGGCCTGCACCTGTTAGCAGCGCAGTAACCCGTTCTATTAGCACTCCACAGGTCTGTCATCTTCCCCAGTCCACACGTGGGGCAGACGCGTCTGATCCGCGGAACATCCTGCCCCGCAGAGCTGCATGGTCCATATTACATCAAAGTAATACAAAGGTCCTATTCCCTTTTCCTTTATAGCTGACTCCGCTGAACTCACCCTGGAACTGTGGGTACACATGCTTGACACGCTTGGAAAAGTGCAGGTCTAGTAATAGGCAGGGGAGGGTTTTTGGCCGCAAAGTGCCAGATGACAGCCTTCCAGTGCTCCTGCTTTGCCAGCCCGTGAATCACTGGCAGGCAGGTAGTGGGGACGATTTAAAAAGCAAACTCATGGAAACGGGATCTTCACTAGGGAAGAGGGTAAGGGGCAAGGGACCCAGGGCACAGATCTGGTTCTTTCTCTAGAAAAATAGCCGTCTCCTCTTTATCTTCTCTGCTCAGTTTAACTGATCCATCCTGACACTCGATTTTGATTTCAAATCAAGCAAAGATGTGGAAAGGAACTTTTGAACTGTTTCACGGACAGGGGGATGGAAGCATGTTCCCATTCTTCAATTTTTCCTCCCTGAGATTTATTTTGGGCTTCCTCTACCATTCTCTCTGTGCTTGCCCAGTGTATTTCTTTTTAAAAGCGATAGTGGGGATTTGGAGGAGACACTCAGGCCCAAGAGAGCCATGTAGTGTCAGTATGTAACATCGAAAACGGGAAGGGGAGTCGAATGAGGGATACCCCAAACGCTTAGCAGGTACAACTTCTCTCGCAACAGTTTTGATCCTGGAGGGTTTGTTTTTGCAGTTCAGCACAGCAACAGATAGCTTGAAAATGACAGTGGATAACTTCTCTGAATTGCATATGAATTATATCTATAGGTACAAAGCTCTTAAACCGATTTCATACCAGAGTTGGTCAAGTTTGAATTAAAATACACTTAAGAATTATGTGCACACAGGGCTAATCGTGCGATTTTTTTAGGTTATTTAAAAGGGACACCCTTTAAAAATGCATCTTGTATTTAATCAGATCCACTGATTTATACACCTCTTTGACTTAAAATGAATTGAGTCCTTCTGAAAAGAATAATGAAAATGGGAGATAATGATTCATATCTTTTCTCTTTCTAGCTCAAAAATTTGATCTGATCTGGAGTATGTTTTTTTTTTAATTCCTTTATAGTTTCCCTTCTTTGCAGCCAAAAACAGGTTTGGACAAATAGCAAACCATGAGCACAGGCTCTCGTGGCGCTTTTGCTGAGTTCTCTCACAGGTCTGAAACAGAAGCGTTTTGTATCTGTCCCAATCTGTAGTGATGCGAGACTACACAGGAAATTCTAAAAGGAAAGTGTGAACAGGAGTGCTGATAGAATCTGACCCTTAAAGCGGTATGAAAATTAGAGGATTTTTAAAATTGTTTTTTTGTTGTTGGGGTTTTGTTTACATGCTTACCCTGCGGT